TGAGCATGTGTGGCCTAAATAAGCTAAACCCCCCTCCCTTACCTTATTTAGGCCATATGTGGCCTAAATAAGCACTCCCTAAGGAAAATATGAGCCTCACAGAAAGAATGGTACCAGACACAACAAAATGAAGAAACTACAGGAATGAAGATTGCATCTTAATTTTATTTTGATATAGAGCTTGTTTGGTAACGGTCAAACGTTGCTGCTGGTTGGAAAGGAAGAGGAATATGAGTAGTTAGTGTGGGCGTAAAAGGTATAAGATAAGATCATATTTATTTCAAATTCAGACAATGGAGAACATTTATTAACCAGTTTTATTGGTCCTGAAAAAAAACACGGAAAGATTCGGAGTCATAAGGAATCAAATTATGTTATTCTTAAAAAGTGGTTTTATTATTTCTAGTATAGATCTACGGCGTACGTATACTGGTACACCGTCTAGGGGCCTGGAGAAATATGTGTCACGACACGATGGAACCAGGTGCTCGTCAGGGTTTTTTTATAATTTATAGAATTATTGCCATAATATTAAAGCTTATTTAGTTGTTCTGCTTTCGAAGAAATAACACCCATCTATCTAGAATAGACCTCGAGATTTCACACGAGATTGAAGGAGGTGCCACTCGCGTTGTTTCCGAGGTAAAATTAGCCAGAAAATGGCCGCCAAAGTGTGGTGTCTCCTAAAGATTGAGTGTCCTTGGAAACTATAAACTTACATTTTTGTGCCTTTGGTCAATAGTTTTCAGTAACTCCATGGAGAAATGTGTTTTTTAATAGATATGAAAGGTGTTTAGTTGTTTTGTTTTTATCGATAAATATGGCCAAACGGGTGGGAAAATGTTGTTTCCTTCTATTTCATTATTTTGACGAGCTCCTGATTATACCACAGTGCCAGATAATAATATTATATTGGATTCGCGTTCAGACCCCTCTGGGTTTGTTTTTGTTTTTCAGATACTACTTGAACACGGCATCCAGATAAATGCACAAGACTCGAGTGGCAGCACAAGCTTAATGCTGGCCGTCCGATACAAACAGTATGTGGCGATCAGCACTCTACTGGCGTCTGGCTGTGACGTAAATGTGCAGGACAAGGAGGGCAGGACGGCACTGCATTACGCCAGCCACACTGCTGTGGCAGTCGACTCGCTCATCAGTGCAGGTAGCTAGTTGTGCTGGGGAACGCAGAAACGTTCAACGTAACTGAATTATAGTTTGCGCTCATATGACCGTTTGCAGTTGCGAGCGCCGTAAAACCCTCTACTATTATACTATAACTAACTAAATTATAGTTTATTTTGGGAATGCCTTCTCGTCATGCTTTCTAGAACTGCTGTCGAAATTTTCTAAGATGGCCGCACATTACCGAGGAGAAAAATGGTCGTCTTATACAAGTGGACGTTTTACGCTGTGTAGCAATGCTGTTTAAAAACTCAAGTGGGTAAATGGGAAGTGGCCATTTGTACAGATGATTGTCTTATACAAGTAGTAGTAGTAGTAGTAGTAGTAGTAGTAGTAGTAGTAGTAGTAGTAGTAGTAGTAGTAGTAGTAGTAGTAGTAGTAGTAGTAGTAGGCTTAGCCGTAGCAGCAGCAGTAGCACTACATGTACTATTAAAAGCAGCAGCAGCAGCAGCAGCAGCAGCAGCAGCAGCAGCAGCAGCAGCAGCAGCAGCAGCAGCAGCAGCAGCAGCAGCAGCAGCTAGATATTAAACTTATAACAGACCAAGTTCGAGTCTCAATGCCAACCTCGTTTACCACAAGTTCTTCTGTTTCACATTTGACCTGACAAAATCCGCGACAGTCCGTGGCATTGATTTAGAGTGTTACTGAAACAGGTCCAGTAGTTCTTTGCATATATGTATCTTCAAGCATCTATGTCATGTTCCAAGAGGTCCATTTACAAAGTGACGTTTTTTTGTGTCTATCAAATTCTCTCTCTCTCTCTCTCTCTCTCTCTCTCTCTCTCTCTCTCTCTCTCTCTTTCTCTCTCTCTCTCTCTTTCTCTCTCTCTCTCTCACTTTCTCCCTCTTTCTCTTTCTTTCTCTTTCTCTTTCTTTTCTCTCTTTCTCCTCCTAGATATCCCCCTGACTGTCTATCACATCCCCTCCCGCCTCGCTCACACACATTTATACACACCCATACGTGTGTATGTGTGTGTGTGTGTGTGTGTGTGTGTGTGTGTGTGTGTGTGTGTGTGTGTGTGTGTGTGTGTGTTTGTGTACTCTCACTCCACGAAGTCACACGTTCAACTTACGAACTGACCAACATAATAATATAGGTACAACGGATACCGTATTAAACTTCTCCTATTTATTGGTGATCTTTATCAACGTCTTGACTCTGGCAGGGGCTGACGTCAACATCCTTGACAACCATGGATGCTCCCCCCTGCTCATGGCTGCCACAGAGGGCCTGGACAAAGTAGTACACGCATTGTGCAACGTACCCGGGTGCGATGTGAACCTCAGTAACTTGTCAGCCAAAAAGACCCCTTTGCACATTTTGTCCTATAAAGGTCACACCAGGTTCGTTTGTTTATTTTTTCTTGAGTGTCGTGGGAAAACCTGATTCTGTAAGCACAAATGAATGCGTCAATACTTCTTGAATGTAGTACTGGGATCCTAGGAAGACGGGGTGCTCCACGCTTCCTCGACCCCCTTCATAAGGGTTCATTTCAGTGTGGGTAGGCTGATTGTCTCCATCATCAGCTGGTTGTTGTTAACGTCTGGTGGGACGCACAATTATGTCCCATGTTTTCGCCTATTGTTCTTCGAACTGATTTTTCGTTTTGTTTCGACTATCGCTGCTCAGTGGTAAGGTAAAAGATCGGCTGGTATAAGTCCGTTGAGCAATGGCATTCACTTTCAGTGTATACACGTTGCATTAAAGAAACGGATGTGCTTCTTTTCCATTTTGGGATCACTAATCGGTAATCGGTAGCATTATTGTAGCCATCAAATATCTCGTAAGATCACTGCTCACTTCGTGTTATCTGTGAAGGCTATTTTGCTTTTATTGAAGGTGTTATGATGGGATCTTTTTTGGATTGGTATTTTTATGTCTATAGAAATTAGCACTCGATGTGTTACAATAAAGATAACAGCAAGAAGCCGGGCAAAGTAAGAAGTCGAACTTACCAGACACATTTCTCAAGTAACCACACACAAAAATGTCGTTTGTTCATTCCCTTTGGGTTACAATGAACAGTTCTCCCAGCCTTGTTCTTACAAAATGCAAAATTATTTGATTCAATGATGAAGTCAAAATTACAAAGGGTGTGAGCACAATTTTGAAAGTAGACATAATATTTTGATGGTATTGAAATACGATATACTATCTTTTGAGAAAGTCTGCTTAGCGGTTATGCGTTTCACGGTCGTACGCAAAAATGAGTTCAATTCTCATTTAGAATTTTCATAGAGTATCTTCGTCTTTCTTCTGGAACGTCGTATTCCTCCCAGCCTAGGTTGACCCTGACAGACAGGGTCAAAGTAGTCCGCCTCTTAGATGATGAGATGTTGATGGGGGGGGGGGGGGGGGGGATTGGGGAGGGGGGCGGTAAAATATGCAAAATTCCATTAAAAAAAAATTACACTCACGTTCACTCTTTATAGTTTTGATCAATGAATATAACTTCTTTTAAGTGTATGATAATACACTCAAATAGGTCCTGTCGATGACTGCAAACACGTCGACCCGTGGTTCTGGCTGTGCATGTAGCATTGACGCCTTTGGCGAAGCACTCAGTAAACGTTATTTCGGTTTCCGAGAGATAAAGATTTGTTGTTGTTGTTGTTGTTGTTGTTGTTGTTGTTGTTGTTGTTGTTGTTGTTTGTTGTTGTCGTCGTCGTCGTGGTTGTTGTTTGTTGTTTTTGTTAGTTTGTTTGTTCGTCTTTTAAAGATCATCTCTGTCTGTCTCATGGGATGTTGTACATGTATCGTACTCAGCCCTGTGGTTGGCCTGCCTTCTAAATGATGTAAATCGTGTCGGTGGTCGCTTAAATCACAAACATCTCTTCTTCTTTATTTGCCAGATTTGAATTAGACTTCAGCAATAAATTTGTTCGCTCTCATCTTTCTCCTCGATGCTCTTAAAGCCCTACACATACATGTGATATTACACTTGTCTTTCCCATTTTTTGATCTCTTTAATTTGTGTAATCTCGTTATTGTCTGCCTATTTTGCCTACTGGATTTCCCCTAGTGAGGGCAAGATGTCTAATGCTTTTATGTCGATTCAAGTATCCTAGGAACTTCATAATTGTCTCTTCCTCATTGGTGTAGTGGCCATTCCACGCTGGTGTCTGTCAACATTAAGTCATTATTTGATTTTTCCCTATAATTTATTTTTACTTCCAGAGCTGTCCGAGATCTGCTGGCGTGTAGAGCAGACGTGAACCTATTGGACGCTGACCACCGCTCGCCTCTGTGGTACTCGATCACAAATGGAAAATGTGACGTCACAGCTGCCTTGCTGAGTTCACCAAGACTGCAAACCTTTTGTCAAGTGAGTCTCAATTTTGTAGTTTCTGTGATGAAATCATAGGTACGGAGGAGAATAAGAAAACGTCTGCTCAGTATGCGACTCTGTCATCATACGTCACGTTCAAGATGATGTGTATCGGAGCTTTACACAAAATAGTCGAAATAAAGAAAATAATTAAAGAAAAGAGCGCTTTATTTACCCCCCCGTCAAGTTTGCGTTCCAATTAATGTATTGTTATGTATTAGCGTTCTACAAGGCGAACAAAATTTTGAAGAGGTAAGCAATTAATATTGGTTATCAACTCACTGCAAGGCCCCGTTTAAGTACTTATTTTGCTCTTGGAAAACACTAGTGGTCCTCCCCAGCTTAAGATGTCTTATGACCGTGTTCTTCAAGCCATGAAAAGTAGTTGCTAACTGTTGCCAAACATTTTAATGTTCACTTATATTGTTCTAGGAATGCTGTTTTTGTTTATTTCTCGCGGAATTCAATATTTTAACTAACAGGTCTA